ACAGTGTAACTTAATGATTTGGTCAGTTATCAAATCTTTGGTTGATACCTGTAAAGTGTGTAATCATTAACCTGGCAAAATTAAAGGTCACATACTATATGCTCATTTTCAGGTTCATACTTTATTGGGGGTTTCTACTTGAATATGTTTACATGCTTTAATGCAAAAAACCCACTATATTTTTCTCATACTGTCCCTCTGAATATAACCGTATTCAGCCTCTGTCTGAAACGCTTTGTTTTAGTGCCTGTCTCTTTAAGCCCCCTCCCGAAAAAGCCCAGTCTGCTTGGACAAGTCAGCAGAGAAAAGCTAAGACGTGCAACAAAGGACCTAAGAACACAGGACTCTGTGTTTATATAACATGCAACTGTAACTGCAAATAACGTGCACTGTAACCACTCAGCTACCAAGGTGCTCTGCTACTGTTTTACTTCCTGTATAAGTTCATATTTTCCTGTATGTTTAATTTCCTGAAATAAATAATAGGCAAATAGTAAAGAGCTTGTAAAAGTTTGTGTTTATTTGCACATAACAATTTCAGATAATTTGTCTCTAAAAGACACATGGCTGTGGCCATTCATGCATGGGGGTGCAGTCAACGCACTGTAGACCAACATTTGAAGCTGTGGGCATGTTCATAATTTGTCATCGGATGCAACTTAGTGTCTGGTGTTTAACAAAGTAAAGCAAACCCTTGCCTGTCCACTGTGCATTGACATTTTTTATTGTTACACGGTGAGAACTATTCAAAAAACGAATTATTCTCTGTGTGAGTAAAATGTATTGATAGTATGTTTTTGCACTTAGGTAGGTGCATCATGCATGTGTACAGTTCCCTCCTAACCCCTGAGAAATATTGCTCCCCCAAAAGCCTTGGTGTATTTCAAACACTGTGTAAAACTATTTTTAAATTTCCTAAAAACTGAAACGTAATACTGCTGGGACAACGATTCATCAAAAAGTTTATATTAAATGTTTCTCACTGACACACAGTTAACTTGAGACAGCCAGTGATAATGGGCTAAAAAAGGTGAGGCAAATAAAAAATAATTGTGGGTTTGTGTGGGCTGTATAACTGTTGGCTGTAATTTAGTGCTATCATGAACGTTTATAACAGCTTTACATTCCGTTACTTCAGATCAGTAAAGATCCAAGGGCCTCTAGCGTCATCAAATCACACTGCTCCTGGACAATGCTGTCTCCTACGAATATTGTTATTGAACCCCCAAAGAGACTCCAGAGAATCTGGATGGTTTCCAACAACAGTACAGTAACAGCAAGAGTCCTGTCTTTCAATTCTTTATTAACTAATGAATTTGTCATTTGTAAGCAACCTCCAGGCACAGAAATTGCCCAAACTTTTATTCTATCTCTTTGGCACATCTTTCATGCAATACAGTAGCATATTAGAGACATTGTAGGAAAAAAAAATATTACGGAGCCGGGGAAATGGGTTAAAATTCCAAGAAACAACTCTCACAATTTCTAAAATGAAAGTTGTAAATTGACCAGAAAACAAAAGGTCTAACATGACTATAAAGTACAATGCATACCGATGTCGGCATTCTGATAATCAAATAAAATAGAAAGAACATGAAAGAAAACAGGTATTTTTAAGGACTTCTGCCTCTCTCAAAAGCCATCCTTACGATAATAATTTGTACTACTTTAAGAGCAACGGAATTCAAAAGGTCAGATTTTTGCTCTTATATTCATAATTTAATAGTTTCTGAGAAAGGCACATGGAGCAGAATCCCTTTGACCCTTGGCCTTTTGCAAAAAGATAACAGAATAAACAGGCAGCACATTATTGCAATCTGTGTTAATCTCCTACAAATGTTCTCTGTATTCAACACGATGATGTTCAATCTGGCAATCACACTCGACCATTTATGCTCAGCCTCACCTCCTCCCTGATTCCAGTTGGCAGTGCCGATACCGGTAAGACTGAGTCATCCTTTGGAAGTGGTTGGGAACGGTAAGGTGCTGTCTAGTTGGAATGCAGTTCTGAGATATGAAGCAGGAAATATTTAACATACTTAAGTGCAAAATACACCCGATGCAATTCTGTGGTGGCAAATCCAGGGAAATAACTCACAATGGCAGCAATGGCAGCAATTCAGATTCTCTTTATGTGGTAAATATTCCTCCAGTTTGTGCTGAGGATAATCTCTGTGATGTCAATACAATAAAAACTGATGCATTGCTTTAATTTAAATCAGCATAGTTTCATGCAACTCAAGGGAGATGTAGATTGTACACAGCAACCACACGTGCATTACTAGAATTGACCTTTTTGTTGTAGCTCAAGCAAAAATCTGATCTCTAATGAGATCAGAAAAGAGAGGAAGAATAATAACACACAATCGTGATTGCTCTCATGCTTTCATTTTTATGACCTATGGTCTTGAGGAAAACACTTTCAAAGATAATCATCTGAGATCTCTAAGAGCCCAGAATTAGCTGTTTCTGCAGATTTATCATAGAAGAGTTGTATCCAAAGATAACCTCCTGTCACTTTCCATCAAGCACACACCTTCAGATTACTCCAGGCCAGAGTTGCAGGAACTTTACAACAGCCAAATCCTCGAGAACACAGACTTCTCCACAGGCTCTTTTCATCAGATATCATCATCGCTGCTTTGACAAAGCTCCCCTCCCCCTAATTAAGATAGTGTGTTAATGTTATATTGATTAATTTCTGATGAAGTCAACTGCTGGAACTAATCAGGCTATTATGAAAATTCCTCCATCAAGATTCACATTTTCTTTTCGTCTCATGCTGTAACTTTTTGTTTGCGTGGAGCACATGTCCCAAATTAATAAAGCCAGGCGGTGTACTGAACCCTCTTAACTCTGTCACTGCTTGTCACAGTAGAATTGGCCTAAAACTTATTCTCTGTCTCTCTCTCTCTTTCTCTCTCTCTCTCCTTGTATATCTCTCTCTCTGTTCTTTCTGTTTTTGCGCAAGTGTCCCAGTTAAGAAATTGCTTACATCCCACTCAGTCTGGGGCTGGATTGAAATTTCCCATAGGGTATGTACCAATATGCAGAGAGCACACTTCGACAGATGCCATCAGAGAACAAGCATATGAATTACCAGGCAGCCTGCCATCTTTGAGTTCAGACAGAATGGCATTAATACCTGATTACGATCCAAACAACAACACAACAACAACATGAAAGCCAACGCTACTGGGAGCAGGTAAAGGTTTCATCATTTATATATTAATGGATTTACTAACAAAGACTCTACTACCCCCTCAAAAGTTAAAATGTCATAGAAGCTGGCAACAATCCAGGGACTTTGGAAAAATAGGAAGGGGGGGTATTAGATGCCATCAGCAAATCACGTTCCAATAAATTAAATATTCGCCACTGCTGACCATAACTAATTTAGAAGCCATGATAAATTCATGTCTACAATTAAAGAAAACACGATCGCTTTAATTTTAAATGGCTGTAAATATTGGCATTACCCAATTAAGTCACATTTGACTGTAGGAAAAGTACCTGCAAGTGAACCATAAACACTGAACCTATACGTTCTGGGAGGAAGTATGAAATTCAAAGTTTTCATTTTCTTTTTTAGTTTTATGGAATTGTTACATTTTACATGTCTTTAATGCAGGACATATTTATAATGTATTAATTATTTGTACTTTACAAAATATTATATATAAATAATAATAATATATCACCTTTTTTAACTCAACTTGAAGTATAATGGCAAAGTAATAAAATGATTTATACTGGTTCATGTAATTTTAGGTTGACTATATTGAAGTTTGTTTTCGATGTAAAGGCAAAGCCCACAACATCTACTCATTGTCAACGGATCACATCAAGGATTTACATTAATTTGATTTGTCATTTTAATGTACTAAGTGGAAAATTGGCCGTTTTTTAACTAATATGTACAGAATTCTACCAGGCACGAGCGACAGCATATGATTTCTTTAATTGAGTGGTTTTCCCCTTTAAGCAGTTGCTGTGTCAGCTCTTTGTCAGTGGGAAAGACGGATTGTGGTGTCATTGATAGCCCTCTTCCTGCTCTTAGCGCACATCATGATAAATGGTCCATTTTGGAATCCATAATGGACACTGATATAGGTGCACTCTTCTTTCTTGACATTGAACTGCCTTCTTCTCTCTTTCAGACATTCAGTCATCTCACAGAGCGCTGTCTGTCCTCCGTCTCTGTTGTTTGTTTTTCTTTTCGCATGCAAGCAAAACCAATTTATTGGCATTTCTAGGTTTTTCTAATTTTGTAATTTAGATGTTTGGTAATTGAAGTGGAAGCTCATCTAGACTTAGCCACTTTTCCCCCAAGTTCTAATATAGCACCAACTGATTATCCACATTTTACAGCTCCTATAAAGCTTTATTACAACTCTGCATGGGAAGTTCACATTTAGCAAGAGTAAGAAAGTGTGATGTGGTCCGACCACCCACACAGTGGTTAGTCTGTAAAAGTAAAGGCAAGCTTATGGTTAACTCCCACTTCCCGTCTCAGTTTCCCCGTCTCTCAACTGAGGGAAACAAACTGTAACATCACAACATGGACACTGACTTCCCCGTGATTTCCTTCCTCCCCATCTAATCTCTGCTGCTGCCTCTCGTGTGAGGAAACAGTTGCATGTAATGTATACAAGACATCATGGGAGTCAGAGAGGGATTGAAAGAGAAGGTAGGAAGGATTTAAGGAAAGGGGCAGATTGGAGGGGCGTTGGGCTCCCAGATGCCCTCGCCCCTATGTGTGTGTGTGTGTGTGTGTGTGTGTGTGTGTGTGTGTGTGTATGTGTGTTGCTGTGCCTTGGAGATGACTGTCGGCAGTCGGTGCCTCTGAGAGAGAGGAGAAAGGGGAGCGGGGGGGCCAGTCTGTTACCAAAGGGAGGTGGAGATTTACTATCCCACCCAGTCAAAGTGTCTCACACACAAACACATGCAGAGATACACATTACCTCTCACACACACACACACACACACACACACACACACAGACGTACTCCAAACTCTCCACAGGAAACTCTGAGCCATAATGCGAAGGCACCTCAGAGCAGACGGGTGCATTGCTCAAACCAAGTGGGATACGGTGCGGCTTTGATAGTGCGTTAATTACTCATGTGATGTGATACAGATGTCTGGGGGCTTCAGCCGAAAGTTTGCCTGACGGTTTTCAAGGGGGCCAGGCAGACATTTTAGAAGCGGTAGGTGAAAACCAAATGTATTTATTATTTATGGATAGATCAGTTTGCGTGCTGTCACAGATCCCAGCAGTGTCATGCTGATGCTAAACTGTGATGCTACTTGAAGGGCTGGCTGCTAAATTGTGTTTTGTGTACTTGGTGACAGCTGGGACTTTGAACAGGAAGAACTCTGGGCTATAAGAGTTGCTTGTGCTGGTGACATGATGAAAAGGGCTTCACTATCGATCTGACAGTTGGAAACTTTATCTGCTCTTTACCAGGAGTTTCGTGGAGTGAATTACTCTGATTTTGTCCAGAACGTTTGTAGTTTTTCATGTGTGGACTCAGTAAAGGTGCAGTATAGACCCAAAAGGGGAATCCAAAGCATAACTACAGTTTGCATTTTGTTTTGTAGATTTGGATCTTCATCTGATTTTTATTTTAACCTTTCATGCTTGCATTGACAAACATTGACAGGAAATCAGCCCCGCAGGACTTCTTTGAAGTAGAAAAAAAGAAGCTCTTTGATTTGTAACCACATGTTTAAACCCTTCTAAATTAGAAACAGAGGGAGAATGCAAAACCGCGGAAATCATTCAGTTACAAACACACGCATGAGGCTCACTGTGAAGCTTCACTGCGTAGCTACAACATTATTGACACAAAGCTATAACCAACGACTCCCTCCTCCAGGGACGACTGAGAACAAACAAGATGCCCAATGCGCTCTGCTGATGCCTCATGTGACTCTAACTAGTCCTGGCATCTCCCATCTGCGCCCCCGTGGCAAAACCTTTTTGAAGTCTAGAAGAAGCTGCTTAACTTCCTCACAGCTTCTGAAAGGACAGTAATGCTGTTTAACTGTCTTGTAACTGATATATAATATTCCACTTTGGTTAGATTTTAACTGCTGGCCAAATATGATGAAGTTGCTGGCGAGTCATTTGTCAATAACCAATTTTTCCACTTGTTATTTGTTTTTCTTTTCTCATTAGAGATACATTGGTACCATCTTTCAATCAGTGAAATCAAAGCGCCAAATGTCTTCCATGATGGGCAACCCAGCTGTTCATATGTTGGTGCTAATGGCCTGTATGGCAGCCAGAGGAATGTGCCAGATAAACAGAGCTGAAGCAGAGGAGGGCTCTCTCCCAGACCCTCTCGTCCACTCCACCCTCCAGTCTCTGGGTTTCCACAGCACCGCCAGTCCCAGCACAGGGCCCGGCCTCCACCTGGGGGAGGCACTAGCTGTGGGATCTGGAAATAGCAGTGTTGTAAAGAGGCCGATAGGACCTCCGGCATGCCTTGTGCCTACCTCGATTAGTGGCTATTTCAAGTACATCAACACCATCATTTCCATTATAGTGTTTGTGGTCGGCCTGGTCGGCAACACCACGCTGCTGAGCATTATATACCACAACAAGTGCATGAGGAACGGGCCAAACGCCCTCATTGCCAGTCTGGCACTGGGGGACCTCATCTACATAATCACGGATATACCCATCAATGTATACAAGGTACAACTTTCACTCCGTTGATGCATGTTTCATTAAAGTATTGACGTCATTTTGAAAGCTGAGCTTTGTTGTGTTGATATGATGAAATGCAGCTACAATGGAGGTGATACGTAGAGATAAAGTGAAATATTATAGACGGGAATATGGGGGGAAATGGGAAGGGGTGTAAGGGAGCGTGCAAATAGACGGGAAAGTGTAATCAGTCGGACGCCATTATCTCCTTCGTGTGGGCAGTTTAGTGATGAGAGGAGCAGGGATATGGCTGGCTTAAATAAACACTTGAATCAGGCTGTAGTCACACATGCCAGCGGTCTTATATTGACCTGGGACATTAGTCACTGACCCATATCTAGAGGTTTTATTTTTTTAAAGAAAAAAGTACCCAGTGTTACTAAAGTGATAAATCATTTGAGGAGTTTTGGACTCAGTTCCTCATTAAAGCCCCATCTATTATGTTTTTTACAAATAAAAGTGAGGTTTAAAGGTTTGACTAATGCTGTGTTTATGCGTCTTAGGTTGGCTTATTTTATTCCTGTATTTATTAAGCATTACTGATTTACTGATACTTTTACAGTCTCAGAAAATATCAAACGCTTACATTTCAATGTATTCAAAAGATCTGTCAATCTCTCTGAGAGCAACAGTCATGTGACAATTTGGGGTTTTGATTTTTGGTGACTCACAACACATTTATTCACTTTTGGACTACGGATTGTGCCTTTAGAATACGAAGCGTTTAATGATGATGAAATATGCTTCGGGCTCCTTTCTTGGGTTGATTTACGCCAATAAATAGTGTTGTAATCAAGAACGATAGCAGAAGGGAGTCTTCGGTCAACTTGATCTTTCCAATGTGTTGTGGGATGCCATTTTACAAGAGAAAAATGAGAAAGCCACCTGGTTAGAATTAACTCGGGATTTTGGGGGCAGAGCAACATGTGCCAAAAGGAAACTTACCGTGGGAACAGTGTAAGCACAAAGAAAGAGCCACGTCTACAACGTTGAAACCATGTTGAAGCCCCTTGTTCACTTCCTCGGGGCTGTGACAGTGTTTCCAAAAATAATCAGCTACTTATACACTCAAAACAGTTTCCTTTCTGCTGCTCTTCTGTGCTCCTGAGAAACTTAAATGGCACAAGTAAACAATGACGACCAGGAAGCGTCATGAAGTCCTTCTTTTCGCTTTAGCTTTGGGAAACGTGTTTAACGCAGTTTACATCGTCCTGGAGAAAAAGTGCCAAGACCACTTTGATGGAAACAGAGGTCTCAATTCACATGGCCTTGACTTGTTTTCTCAAGGAAGTAATATCAAAAGAGGTTGTGGAAATGGCTCTGAGGTACCGGTGACAACTTAGTGAATTATTGTTAAAGGTTGACAGTACGTTTTGAGAGGCAGTATGTCTGCAGGAGATTTGAAAGTTTTGCAAAAGTCGTGCAAAGTTTTGTCAGCTGATGAGCTCCATATGGTCCTTGTCAGACTAAACTCAGATGACTAAACTTAAGATGACGTTGAAAGGTCTTTGATGTGCCTCGTTCTGCAGTGAAATTGCCTTAAATAGATATTAAGACTGCTTGCATGAGCCAAGTAACAAAAGTGAGAGAGAAAAGCCTGCTCCCAAAAGACTTGTGAGGACAGATTACTTTATTGAAATCATTTACTTTGTTTGCACTGATACATTAGCTAAGCCAAACAGGGATTTGATGACAAGTGATATTAGTGTGAATGTTGAACAACACATGCTGTTACAAATGTGGTTTATTTCCTCTGAGAAAAGTGTTTATGTGACAGTTATCGTATGTGCTTCTTCCCCCAGCTCCAGGCGTCACGCTGGCCTTTTGCCGACAGTCCTGTTGGCCTGTGTCTGTGCAAGATGGTGCCCTTCCTGCAGAAAGCCTCTGTGGGCATCACCGTTCTCAACCTGTGTGCCCTCAGCGTGGACAGGTCAGCGCTTTCACACGCGACACTGCTTTATTATGTCCCATCAGGAGCTTTGACAGCAAAAAGTTAAAGCAAAAGTCCTGCTCTGCGTAAAGTTAAAAAGTGACCCAAAATTATTTTTTAGTATTTTGTGCATGTTGTTAAAGATGTGGTGTTTGTTTGAATATGAATGTTAAAGTGGGTTTTAGAGAATCAACTTATTGGACATCATTCTCATGAAAGTGGTTCAATTTGTGTCTTTATCACTCCATAGAGACATATGAAGTTATCGGGTCTTGTAAAGCCAGCCTGAAAAGCCTGAAAGAAATTCAGATATTTTCTTTCATAGCTGAAAAAGCAGATACTATTCAAATCATTGGGGGAAAAAACTATCAATTTGGACAATGTCAATTCATCCATGTTTGACTCAGCTCAAGAGAGCATGCTTTGGATCAATTTGTCACAAATATTTTCTGTTAATATAACTTTGGTTATTATGCGACGCAGAGACTTTTGATTCGATTCCAGTTTAATAAAGCAAAGATTTGGTTGGCTGAGATGATGATCACTTTCGGGAAAGGTCAATACTGACTGAGCATTCTCACTGGGAAGTTATTTATCTCTCTGCTCTTCTATTTGTTTCCTCTGCGTTGAAAACTTGCGTGATGAGCTCTTCTATGAGATGCTCTTTACTCCTTTAATGGAATTATTAGAGTAATTTATTATATACGCAACATTAAGTATATGATATTTGCACTGTAAACTCTATATTTAATGCTTATATCAAAAGCATTATCTTGATGGCAAGTATACTGACGACTTCTTTTTTTTTTTTTTAACACCTTAATAGAAATTCCCTAATGAATAAATGATGATCATGAAGTGCTGAAGCTCAGTGTCATCTCACTTTGTGCACTAGACACAACTTCAGAGATAAGAGGCTTGCCTGCCTGCTATGAATAGGCTCCAAGGTTCAACCAGGAAGACATATATAATGACCTCTATTATGAGGAAAAGACTGCAGTGCTTTACAGTTGTGTTCAAGAGCAGATGCTCATCATTTGTTTTCAGAAAACGTGAAGCATATTATGTGTGTTTGTGTGTAACAAGTACTTGAGTCTCTTTTGTATCTTTTCAATGTTGAAGGAAGAGAAAAAGGTAGATACATTACCACTTAGTGAAATATAAATGCCGCCATGTTGTTCAACAGAGAAATTCAAATGTGTCATGAAAAATATATTGTTTTTGCCATAAAATGTTGATGCAGGATTTTACTAAAACATTTCGACAAATTGTTTCCATTAATGAAACAAACAAGCACACAAGTATTCAGTTCGTGGGAAACACAAGCCGGCAGACAGACCTCTCTGCCAACATGGGCCGGTCTGTTTGGAAGCTTCACATAAAATATAAATATTAGATATTCAAAATAAACAATTGATCATCTCGCCTTATTAATTCTTAACATTTTGATATTCTTTGCTGACTGAGCAGTTTGTTGTGCTTGGTGTGCTGCCATGCATGAGGAAAATGTTGTTAGCTTTGTCAGTCAGGAGAGACAAAGTAAATGATGACTTTACTGGTTTCTATTTAATGATGGAGCGCAGACTGAAAGCCACCGATCTCCTGCAGCCCGGTTTCAATTAATATAAAGAAAAAACGTGGTAATTGTGTTACATTATATACTTCTATCATTTTAATTTGATTCTCAGGAGTGCTACATCATGACCATTCCTGCTGCAGTAAATCACTATCCCCTAGTCATTTGTACTTCAATCCCATCAATTGAATATGTCTCCTCCATCTGTTTAACCTCTGTGTCCGCCCTTCACAGGTACAGAGCCGTGGCATCCTGGAGCAGAGTCCAGGGAGTGGGCATCCCTCTGCTCACAGTCATCGAGATTACGTCTATTTGGTTGCTGTCGTTCTTCCTGGCCATACCGGAGGCTATCGGTTTCGACATGCACAACTTCAACTACAGGAACCAAACTATACGCACCTGCATGCTTAAACCCATGTCCGACATTATGGTGGTACGCTATCATCCCTCTCTTATCATTTCTGGATAAGAAAATGGCTGCTTAGTGCTTTTGTGTCCCAGTGTTTTGCTTGTATTGAGGCCACGATGTGCTGTATAGTACATTGTGTCAAGGCACTCGTAGGAAGGGTAGTTGAATTTTGCACTAAATAGACAAAACATTACTGGACTATTGAGATAGGAAACCCATCTGCATGCAAACTCCTCAAAGTGAAAGTGCAAGATCAGCTTAATCTTTCTACTGTCTTAAAGGCGTGTTGATTGTTTGGAATCAGTGAGTGTTTTTAATGGCACAATGATGTGTTATTCTGGTTATAGGGGCATATATTTGTAGAGCAAGAATACAACAGTTAAATAAATCTCCTACAACATTTCCTGCTTGAATAATTCAAAACACAGGACAATTATTATATCAACCCACTACTCAATACGTAAGGAGTACTCCAGCAAAATTATCTGCCAAGCCAGTATGAGAGTATCTGATACTAAAACGTTTTAGAGTGGAGTATCACTGTGTGTACTTTCTCTCTCCATGTGATTGTGGACCTTTTCACATCCTTGGAGCACGTAATTGATTGCAGGCCAAGTGCAATTACTGAGAACTGAAATCTGGGGCCTCAAGCTAAGCCACATGTGCGTCCATCTATTCCATATGTACGGAATTAGAGTAGTCTCTTTCAGATATCAGCAATGCAACGCTGAGGTCTGAAGAAAAACTGGAAAAAAAATAACAGGATTATTGAAGCAATGAAATAGCACATTGTCTTTGGAAGATTTTCCCACCAAATGTTATTTTGTGGGTACATAAGGCCAAAGTTTGGAGTTGATGCACAAACTTTAAATTCTTGTTTTTACCTTTCACAGAAATTGTGAAATACGGTTCAGTCAAGTTTGTAGAGTTGGGAAATTGTGGGATTTTTTTCTAAAGAGCATACTATCAATATTGTTTTACAACCACGGAGAGCCAGACGGGCCAGAAGTGGATCTTTACAGACTTATTGCACTATATGCACACATGTGCTCACATGGACTGAAATGGCACCGCAGTGCAGGAGTGGTCTGGTGGTTCAGGTCTAGTTCAGGTTCAGTTACAAAAACACAGATTCTTATTACTGGGATAATACCTGCACATCAGTTCAATAACTATCAACTTTAGCTCAAATTCGATACAAAAATGGGCTACGACAAAAAATGAACAGAAAATTGTGTGAGGTCCATTTAGATCATTGAAATCATCATTCTGAGTCAAAGCAGGGCCAGGAAGACGGTGGAAGAGTAAATGAAAAGGGCAGTTAGGAAGGCTTGTGTGAGAGACAGAAACTGTGGCTTGAAAAACCTCACCCCTTTATATTTTTTACGTAGCTATACAGGGTCACACAGGTCATGCATTTATTTCAGTTTAAATGTATTTTACTATTTATCGTGTGCTTGTTTTCCGGCAGTTCTATACGGATGCAAAGGTCTGGTGGTTGTTTGGCTTCTACTTTTGTGTACCACTGACCTGCACCGCTGTGTTCTACACTCTGATGACCTGCGAGATGCTCAACCGCAGGAATGGCAGCCTTCGGATAGCCCTCAGTGAGCACCTCAAACAGGTCGGACAATACTTCTAATAACAAGCCTGTAACTCAAATAAACTGACTCATGATCCGGTGTTTATTTCACTAACAGCACGAGAACATTTGTAATGTGACTTTATCATCTGATTCAAGTTTTTTCAAGAGTAAAATTGCTGACTGCTCAGTCAGCAGTGTTTATTCCTGTGGTTCTAAACTTGATTACACAAACTTTGTCATCTCCTCTCTAATGGTGGAATGACACCTGCTGTTTCTCTCTGCAGAGGAGGGAGGTGGCCAGAGCCGTTTTCTGCCTCGTCCTTATCTTTGCCCTCTGCTGGTTCCCACTGCACCTCAGCAGGATCCTTAAGAAGATGGTTTACTATCAGAATGATAAGATGCGCTGTGAGCTGCTCAAGTGAGTCATTGGTGGAACAAACTCTCTTACACAAATGTTACTTGAAGGTCTAAAGGACACAGAGTATGCAAATGTGCATAACGTGGCACTGTTCTGTGATTTTGAATGGTTTTCTTAATGTTTCTCACCCTTGGCCATCCAAATGCCCACTGAAAAACAGAAATGAGGCTTGTTCTGCCAGAAATATTTACCATAAAAACCTCCAAAAAGATTATCTTTTTGGTTTTCAATAAAACTAATTATAATCACGCTTTCTTCTTTTTTCCCTCATTCAGTTACCTGTTGGTCCTGGATCACGTCAGTGCCAACCTTGCAACAATCAACTCCTGCATAAACCCCATTATCCTCTACTTTGTCAGCAAGAAGTTTAAAAACTGCTTCAAGGTACAGTACACTCTCCTACAACAGATGGATATTCATGTCTGTAACACACACAAATGCTCACTTATCTCTCTCTCTCACACACACACAAACACGCACACACTTCAGATTTAGTCTGGCCAGTAAAGCAAACAGTGAACTCAGGCCTTTTGTCCATGACACAGAGGCTTATGATGGTGATGACATTCCTTAAGCAACATGTAAAAGCAGACCGGTGATTTATGTATTCACTTTGGAGGGCTGAGGTCACACATTGCAAATGTCAAACGAACCTGGGCTGGAGACAAACCATGTCTCAAGTTCGCACATTAAAGGAAGTGGGGGAGCAAACTAGAGAATAGCTGCCGCCATCAGCCGGTTAGCTTAGCTTGGCATAAAGACTGGAAATAGGGGGACACATCTATCTTCGAAGTCACTGCTCTGGATCAAAAAGTATATCGGCATAAAACAGTAACTTGACGGATTTACACTACTGCTTTTGTACAGATCAAACAAATGACTGAGATACAAGATGTTAATTAAATGAATTTGCCTACCTTTGGATCCAGCTAGTCTTGCTGTTTCCCCCTGATCCCTGGTCTTTATGCTAAGCTAAGCTAATGGTCTCCTGGTTCCAGCTTCACATTTAACAGAAACACATGAGAGTGGTATCAATCTTCTCATCTAACCACCGACAAGAAAGGTAATGATTGTATTTTATCATTTCTTGAACTATTCCTCTAATTTTTCTCTCTCTCTCTTCACATGTTCTTCAAGTCGTGCTTGTGCTGCTGGTGTTATTCTGACAACCAGCTGAGCAGCATCGGACCCATGAATGGTACCAGTATCCAGTGTAAAAGCCCCGAGCCCAACAACGTCCACACTGATCGCAGCATCAGGAAAGACAGCGACTGATCTCTCAACTCATCTCATCTCTATTTTCAAGCACTTCCATATATCCAGCAGCTTTTTTTAAATACAACAAACACACCCTAGAATATATACATCACAAAGTACTTTTTCTGACAATAAATGCATATCCTTTGGACCACTGAAGCAACAAATGAGCCTGCCAAGGATGGATTAGGAACTGGAGATAAAAGGAACTAATAATGGATTTGGCGCACAGTGCTCTGAAGTTGCCCAGAGCCCCTCAGGGGGCTAAACTTCCTACGACAAACTCCTTGTATTCCCACACCCATGGACAGTGACGCTGTAGCATGAGAGAAGAAGAGGGAGAGTGGGATGAGGAGAATGAGGACTCTTAACAGGATGCAGCTGAACGGTGACTATAAATTACTCTCAATCAGTAGCAAACCGTGCTATTCCTGTAAAGGGCAGCACTACTGGGAAGGATGCACCAAGCTACAGGAAGGAAAAAGCAGACTGCTCGCTGTCAGAGGGAATGATGGGATACGAGTATGTGCTGTCCCCATGAGTTCGCTACTCATTGATGGTGGAAAACAGGAAAGCATGTTACCGACTCAAACAAAAAATCATTTTCCATTAAACATGCGAGTGGTTTCGCAGTGTATCTTATTCACACTCATTATTCATTGAGCTGCTTTGTGGTATAATTAGAAGAACGTCTTGAAGTTCATTTGCTTCCCACTGCTTGACAAAAAAACCTTTTCTGATTAATCATGTAAAGAGGAAAATGTCTCTTAACAGAAAGATGAATCCTTTCATTGGGGGGAGAAACAAACACTATTTCTGTTTAGTGTAACAATGTTCACAGACATAAAAGAAAAACTGCTTGTTAATCAAAATATGAAAGATTTCAGCACAGAATCACGTCTGGTGTCAGAATAAGCCAAAGTACACTGGCACAAAGTACAGGGTTGTAGGTTTTAAAGTGAATAAGGTATAACTCCATAGCACATTTCAAGCAAATTATGAATATGAGGTAATGCATTAAGACAGATCTGATATCACCATAGACCAAATCGACAGGAATTAGCTTTTCTCTAAACACTGTGAATTTTACTAATATACTCAATAATACTTGTGACTTTTATCCTTGTATAACCAATGGAATATATATATGTTTAATGTCCACTTTTATAAAGTGTTATATTGCAGTAATAATATGTATTTTACTCAGACAACATTACCTGTGTAATGACATAGGCCAATGAGTTTTTAATGGTGGTGGTAAACGTTCCAAATATCAAAGGAATTGCTTGAGATTTTGGGAAAATACCCCAAAAATTAGATGAGAAGAATGATATCACTAAATGTAAATATCTAGCAATACAGCCAGAGAAGATTAGCTTAGCTTAGCATAAATATTGGAGGAAAAGGAAACTCTGCAGTGTTCTCTGAGGGGGACAAAACCCACTTACCACTGCCTTTAAGTGTTCAATCAACAATTTGTGTTTTGTTTTTTTCTGGTTAGCTACAGCCAGCAGCTAACTGTAGCTGGAGAAATCCTGGTATATTCAGCAGCTAACCGGCTGCTTACTGTAGTCAACCAGCAAAAAATCCAAACAAAATATAACATGTTCATTATTGAGCTTTAAAGGTGCTGGCAGGCAGCTTTTGTTTCCTTCGGACGGAGCAAAGCTAGCCGTTTGTCTTCTGCTTCCAGTCTTTATGCTAAGCAGAGCTAACTGGCTGCTTGTTGCTGCTTTATATTTAACAAACAGATATGTGAGTGGTATCGATCTTCCCATCTTATGCTATGCACACACTTCAAACGACAAAAGCAACGGCAAAGGTTGACTAGCTACATTGATGAGTCACCGTAGAAGTTTTGCTCAAGCGCTAGTTGACGCAGTTATGTCGTCAAATTGCACTGAGAACTGGCTAACGGCCTTCTCTTAGAAGGAACGAAACAGGGTGAAACAAAAACATTTTATTGGTTGACGCTTGAACCAATAAAGTGCTTATAAAAAAATACAGGATTGTAACTAGAGAGGATATGAAGAAAAAAAACAAATTCACAGTATGTACAACATTATGCTTATTGTTGGAGTGCTGAAATAAGTTTACACTTTCTCAACTTTGATTTGAAGCATGTCACCCCAACGACTGACTGTTTGTAGCTTCTTTTCACCGGCTGCTATTGAAAATGACTTGTAGCCTGTTGCTGTCGCTCGTATAGTGAACGCAGCATAACTCTCGCCAAGGAAGTGACAAGAGGCATTTCACAAAACTACATGTTTTTATGTTGAAATCATATTCCACTAGCACAAACTTTACTTCCTTATACTATTTGATATGTGAATACATGTAAACCTGTGTGTGTGTTTGTGAGTTAGCATGAGTGAGTATGCTGTGTGTACAATTACTTGTACTTCCTTAGTTGGAGTGTTTTGCACACTTGTGTACATTAGAACAGGGAATATCTGTAGGCTACTTCTTTATTTTTTACCACTATCCATTGGAGCAATTCATAATAATCTTTAGAAAATGGAATTCATACAATGTTTGTTGTCATTGATGCTGTGCTTAAACCAATAAATCAATTTCCATCTTCACTGTAAGAAACAAGGTTTATTTCACCATCGTACTGGTTTTGCCGGGAAGTCGAGGGGGCCCCTTCTGTTTTTCATTTGCGTCTGTGAGAAAGAGGCGTCTGGGAGTGATTTGAAGCACACTGTGACCTGCTTGGCAACTGAGCCCTAAGGGTTGATAATGTCAGCGGAGAGGATGTGAACAGCTTGGACGGTGGGAATTTGATACATAAAACTCATTTCTCATCTGTGTTGCCAAAAGAGGGTTGAGGAAAGCAAAGGTTGACCATTACTTATCCGTGCTTTAGTCATGTTAGCTTTGTTATGGCAGGAATAGATATATATTTAGCTTATAATACATATCATAATGGTCGTAAACTAATGCAAATTTGTTAAAAACTGAATAGCAGTAATGAAAGTAGCACTTGATTTAATGCAACACAACCACATTTCAACGAGTTTATTTAATATAATATTTTTCTTTGGTTTAAATACATTTAATGAGGCATTAGTTGTATCAAGACAGAGGATGTGGCAGTTTTGCTGTGGAAGGTGTCATTAACCCAGGATTACGCTCTCAAACCTCTCAAAAAGAGACAACCACCAGAGCCACAAAGTCCCATACACAAAGTTGAAAAAGTCAAGCAGAACATTGTAGAAGCTCTGGCTTTGTCGGACATTGGCCTTTTATTTGTTTTAGCGGTTTGGCGATAAGCCTCAGCAGGTCATAAACTTTATGAAACTGCTCCATATTCCTCATATGAAATCATCCCTCAATCACCCCCAAAAAATACAGAATTGCTCAATTAAATGAATCACAGAATAAAAAAAATAAATGTTAGGATGAAACATATTGGAACATATTCATGCTTTTCTGGGAATTGAGAGAGAAAGAAAACAGATGTTTTGAGAGAAAGTGAGGTGGTTTAAGCTCAGTGGAATTTGGTGGGAACCTTGTTTTTTGACAGCAGTGAATTGAATAAAGCTCAAAAACAAATAATAAAGGATCACAAAGGTCCGAAGTGCCTCTCCATGCAAAGCTTATTCCGATTTGATTGTTGATACAGAAAATGTGTTTGAGAACAATCAAAGTTCACGACAAAGACAAAGGAAAGCTGCTTTACAAGGCATTCTCTATTAGGAGATAAAAGACGGCATGATTTGAATTTTTCTTCTTTGTATTAATATTCATTCTTAAGATTTTACAATATGATATGGTTTTGAGGGAATTAATAATTAGGATGCAAGCAAACAAAATGTTTTTCTTGTTGTTTGTTTTACTAAAACTCAACTTTTCCAGTATCTTTAAGCAATCAAGATTCTGATTCTTAGTATCTGAGGAAGTGAAATACGTATATATTGTGAGTTGATGAATTCCATTTCAAATCCAATATCAAGCACTCAGCCCTCATAAAGATAATGACCCCGTGCCCCAGCCCTTCAGGGGCCCCATAAGCTCCAGGTTTACTGTGTGTTAACTGGTTTGTGCTAAATTGATTGAAACTTTGTTTGGAAATATGAAACAATAAAGCACAGTATTACTCTTGGGGCCCTGCCTTAATGAGGGTATATGTGTGAAAATAACAAAGTAAAGTAACTTTTCTGTTTTCCGGAGTATGCTAAATAATAAACTACATTCATTTCCAACTAGAAAAGGTGCACTCAGTAGTAGTAGTAGTAGTAGTAGCAATGCAGATCTCCGCCAGGTGTGTCTACAACAACCACTACTGTAATGTTTAATTGAATAAATACAACCCAAAATTGGCAACCCTCTGTCTAAACACCAATGGCCTGTAAGGCGTTGTAAAACACACTTGAAACTCAAATACAAGCTGTGATTTATACAAGCAATCCGCACAAAGTCATCGCGGCTGACTGGTGGCGATGTATGCAGCAGCGTGTGTACTGGGAATACCGTTAGCTGTTAGCCAAACACACTGTCCAAAGCATGAACTGTTTTCCACCCACTGTGTCTCTGGGCTAATGGCCCAGCAGCTCCTTTTGGCCCTCCAAGCAGGTTAATCCAGTCATGAATGTCACTCAGTGAAATACTTTTGTCATGACCTGTACTTAAAGGTTGACAATATTGTATTGTTCTTGTTATTGTCAACAAACCCCATGAAAAGACCAAAACCATATGGCCATATGTCACAAATATATACTTTCAAAAGGCTGAACAATAGCCTCTGAACATTAGTCAAACAGGAGTAAATTATGTACATGTTGGGGACTATTTTCAGGCCCTGATTTGGTATCCTGGTGGGTATATAAAGCAATAAAAAGAGCTCAGAGCTACTGCCCTTGTTTTTAAATAACCACTGTTGTATGAGCGACTTTGACTTCACCCCACTTCACTTTTGTTGTTGTTCAAGAACAGCTGAACTGAAGTGAGCAGCCTCAGTGAGTCTGAACATTTCCTGACGCAAAGGCCTTTGGCAGACGTATTAAGATAAATAAGTAATTGTTGAACAATGGCAGTCTTGTGTATTCGTCTGACAAAGGAGGTGCACTTTGGATGATACATTACATCTCAGGAATCAGACAGTGTGTTGCCTCCTTTGTTGTGCATTGATCATTACTTTTCCTCAGACCTATCTATTCTGCTTATCCTTGCCTATGTGTGTTTCCTGCAAAGCACATACTGAACGATGCACTTCACCCTACAGTTATGGCTATGATTCAGAGAGACATAGCGGACGCCACATCCGTTATGCTAAAATCTGTTTTGGATCTGATCAAACACAGCATATGTTTATCTACCCTGCCCTTACATGGCTGTACCCTGTATGACACTTTGCATAGCAATCCCTCCAAGCTATCCACCATGGCACTCGCTTGCACGACTTGTGGCAAAGAACATTTCTAATTCATAAAAGCCAAAAGGATCAATTCAAAATTCATGAACAATCTGTCCTGCTACAACCAGTGATTTCTGTGACTGTGGGGCAGTGGAGACGTGGAGCAACAGAGACGAAAGTTCTGCCTCCCCTCATTTTACAGTTAGATGCACAGACACAAATACACTGAAGCATGTGCTCATACACGTGCGCACGAGAACAAAAGGTAACAAGGAGGTTCTGATGGATATTGTTTTTTTGAGATTTTGTTCACGCAGGACTTAGATTACACAAAAATTTTAATATAAACCTTAAACAAAAATAGGGCAAATTGCTAATGGATTTCTGCATTCATTAGATAGATAAAAGGACTAAACAATGGGTGGTGGTTATTTTTGCTTCAACAGCCAGTTAATCCGACAGGTGATGTCATGATTGAGATGTTCCCCATTGTATGTAAAACATCATTAAAACTTCTTGTCATAACTGTATTACATCTAACATACCATAAATTTTTAAATCGAAATATTCTGTGTAAAACATATACCATGCTATATTAAGATGTATACTTTTCTAAAGATAAAAATAAATGTAACACATTTAAATTTTGTATTATTCTTGATTCTGGATACGGTACAAATCTTGTTGTCTGGCTCTAACAGGCCTCTCTCTCTGAAGACAGTGTGACATGTCAATAATAAAATGAAAGATCGCTGATTTCCATTTAGCTCCTTCGGTTTCAGGGTCCTGGTATTTTGCATATTGACTCACTGTCACACTCTCATGGCTTAATGGGACATTTTAATAGAACAAAAGTCAGTGTAAATGTTATTAGTAACACCTGTGCTTTTCCTTCTATAACAAGTCAAAATGGTTGCTGTGGGGTAGGACTGTGTGGATGCAGTTTTACTGACTTTATATGTATTGTATAACTGGTTGTATTGCACAAACACATTGTCCTATGTAGTTGTTAACATATTGTGTTTATCATATGTTTCAACTAGGGGAAAGTTTAATTACCAGATACTGAATAGGCCTATTCGCGGTGCGAACAAAAGTAAATGGACAATAGGGAAGAGAAAGCTTTATTAAATTATTTTTTTAATCATCTCATATTTGTCTGATATCTTTCATTTTAGTCTAAATAAAAACAAGACACTTTAAAAATGGAAACCATATCGATCAACATTGACCAACTATTTCAAGTGGTTGCAAAGTATACCGATTAATTTAGGTATCAGAACTTTAAGAGGCAGGGACTCTCTGATCGGTGATTTTGATGGGAATGGGAGAAAAATAACCCACGAATTGCATAAACAGCCCGAACAAAGTGCCACATTTTCGCAAAGAAACTGAATTAGCCTAACTGGGATCTGTGACCACTATGAGGCTACTACAATGGACTTTAGATCTGGTATCCTGCTAATTGTTAATTCACATTGCCATCTGCTGGCGAAAGCAAAGATCATGTGACCAATAAGAATGCAGCGCAACCACACCAGAGCTGTATAAAGAGAGAGTCGCGTCACTGGAAGTTCAAAACGCTTGATCGTCACATGATTCATGTAGACTTCAGATCGAGCCAGGAAGTACTTGGGGGGCAATTTGAATGCATAGATATTGGTAGAAATTAGTACAATCAGAGTGACATGACTGTGATTATTAGTTATCAAATGAATTAATTGATTTACATCAATTTTGTGTTTTTTTTAAGTAAAATGTCCTAATATTTGAGGAAGTGTAACAGCTAGAGTTACCTGCCTTGTTACAGTATTTTAGGCTAAAGGGCCCTCGTTTAAAGAAACAGTGTATGCGATGTAGTGATATCTAGTGGTGAGGTTGCAGATTCCAAGCAATAACATACCCTTCCATCACGCCTCCCTTTCCAAGCGTGTCAGAGAACTACAGTGGCCCTCAGGTAGGGATAGGTATATTTAGGATTTTATTACTACAAGGAGCTACTTTTATCAATACTCTGTTCTTTTTCATGACTTTATAATTACTTTTAAAAACATATATAGAATTTTTAAAACCCCAAATTCACAACAGGATTAGAAGTTATTTATATATATATATATATATATATATATATATATATATATATATATATCACTGAAAACAAATCTAAAATGTCAATCAAATAAATAACATTCCTGAGGGAAGTTTATAAATGATAATAATCAATAATAAAAACACAAGGCACCAGATAGTATGTCATTCCTCCTGTCCTCTGTTATCCAAGCTTTCTGGCTGTGCTTGTGCAAACATAGCAGAGATGGATGAGAGACTGCAGACAGATCCGATTGAATTAGGTTTCGCTTTTGCTTACATGTTCATGTTGAACAGATGAATTGATAAAATATCATATTTTTACCTGTAAACAGTAGCGTTGTGTAACATTTACTTAATTATAATAGCTTGTACTCCAAAATGGATATCCTCATCCATCACACCCACAACTCAACCAATCACAGGCCTCAATCTTATGTTTAACTAACCATATATAATAATAAATATTAATACTAATAAGATTCTCCATGATCCGCCATTGCTGTTAAAAAAAAAAGGTCAACCGAAGTGAATGGAGATGACGTGACTCTTATTATACGGCTCTGAACCACACATCGTATGTAACAAAACCCTCTTTATCGATTGGCTAGTTCCCTCGATTCCACCAATCCGATTCCAGATTGTAGGCGGGACCACATCTGACGAAGAAACCCGGAAGTACACACTCCACAGCAATTACTGTATTTGGAAACTTTTACCAGCGTAAACCTTCTAAAAACACTGTTACGTGTTATATTATCTAAAGAGCCGGTTGATTTACCAGAGCAGCGTTTTCCTTCGTTGCGGCAGACATTGAGATGCTGGCAACGGTTTAGACAGGACCATCTGCCTCGTTTGTTTACATGGGAGACAAAACACCTGACTAGCTAACGTTAGCAACCTAGCTTGTTAAAATCGATTCACATGAGCTGGTCATTTTCCAGCGACCTTTCCCTCAGGAATGTGACTTAACGTTAGTCAACGTTCCTGTATACGAGAGAAGGGTTGTATTGGTTGTCTTGGTGGGGCGTTGGAAGGGTACCAATGCGGAGCTAACGTTCAACGTGTCGAGCGTTAGGTCATTTGTTTTGTCACCGCAACCTGCGGCCAGTTTTCATGTCAAGATGCCTTGTTCCTGTGGGAACTGGAGAAGATGGATTCGGCCGCTGGTCGTCGTGCTGTATATTTCGTTGCTTTTAGTCGTCCTGCCCTTCTGCATCTGGGAGCTGCAGAAGTCAGGGGTCAGTTCTAATAATCGATGTATACATGCTGATAAGTTTTGAGTACTGTACTGCAATTGTGAGGTTCTTGTAGCCTACTTTACTTGAGTTATGTTGTATTTCTCTTATGCCAATTCAACTTTTTCGAGTATCTTACTGCAGTAATCACTGTTTACATGAAACTGTTTAGATATGATGCATTGCTCACTGCAAAACATCTTATCAAATCATTTGAGTCTGTAGTTAATCTGAGAAATCTGCTAGTGCAGTTAGAATATTTTAAACAGTTTTTTATTTGAACAGATTTCAGGTATTCCCTAAAATGACACGTTTTTCTTTATGATTGTAGTCTTTAAATATTTTTACAAAGTTGTGTTGCTATTTAATTTGAGTAAAAATATCTGATCACTGCTTCCACCCCTGACTTAATATTAAATGTAGAAAAGTTACATTCCTAGTGTATAAGCAAAATCTTGCCAGTGCTGACTGTTTCTTTCCGTTTAATAACAGCTCGGCATTCATAATAAAGCATGGTTCATCGCTGGGATATTTGTCTTCATGACTATGCCCATATCATTATGGGGCATCCTCCAGCATCTGGTTCACTACACTCAGCCAGAGCTTCAGAAACCCATCATCAGGTAAAGTCGTCAACAACAACATCCACGAACACTAGTCTGAAACTGCTTTCTAATTGTTTGTGTTTTTATATCTCTTTTTAAGGATATTATGGATGGTCCCAATCTACAGCTTGGACAGTGTGAGTGGTGTATTATCTAATCAAAGTCATTGTGATCAGGCTTAGATGTCATATGCATCTACAGAATAACTGACATTGAAAAAAAACACCTCTTTGCTTTGTAATCCCTCTCTTTTGAAATCTTACAGTGGATTGCATTAAAATACCCAAGGATAGCAATCTATGTGGACACGTGCAGAGAGTGCTACGAGGCCTACGTCATCTACAACTTCATGACCTTCTTGCTGAACTACCTGGAGAATCAGTACCCCAGCCTGGTGTCGATGCTGGAGTCCCAGGAGCAGCAGAGACATCTGCCCCCCCTCTGCTGCTGCCCGCCCTGGCCAATGGGAGAGTATGTTTCCTTTAGAATTGGACCGATTGTTTTTAAAATTAGGACTGTCATACATACAATACATGTGAGAGCATGTGAGCCAACACACCGTGTGTACAGCTATACAAATGACTTCTAGATAAAACGTGACATGTTTGTGTCTTGAGGTTGCTTGAGTTTGTTGAAATTTTGAGGAGGAAATGTTCTTAGTAAACAAAACAATGACTGTCATCAGCTTCAAATTAACCTCAGTCATGCAACTGCTGTAATTGGTTAGCAGGCCTGTGTGCAGTTCATTTTGTCCAAGCCTTTTTTTTTTTTTTACATGACGATCAAATTGATCAGCATTTGCCTGAAGGTCAGCAGCATCAGCCACAGTTGTGTATTTGATAATACTGCCGTGTCAAAACACTTCACAGTAGTGCTACATCTTGCATGTGTGTCTTAGACCATGATCGAAAAGTCGTTGAGGAAAATTAGGCCTTTCAAGCTTAAAATGTTGTTATTGCACTTCTTTCAAGGATCCACTCAGCACATTTCTTATGGCCATTCGGGATCGGGGTTGATTTTAAATTCATTAGATTCTACTGATACCAGCATACTAGATGTTGTCCAACTAATGTAAATCGAATTCAAATCATACGTTTCCTCTGCAGGGTTTTGCTGCTGAGATGCAAACTGGGAGTGTTGCAGTACACAGTCGTAAGACCCGTCACAACAGTGATCGCTTTGTAAGTAACCATTATTATTATTAAGTACCATTCACATCTTTTGGGTCACTATTTGTGTTGATGTCCCCCTTTTTTTTCTCCTTCCAAGGATCTGTCAGCTGTGTGAAGTGTACGACGAAGGCAATTTCAGTTCAACAAACGCATGGACGTACCTGGTCATCTTCAACAATATGTCACAACTGGTAACACTGCTATTGCTTTTTGTTTTATTGAGTCTAAATGTAATTTGCCTCAAGTGATGGCTGTATCATACATGCATAAACTAGGTTTATCTCTGTCTGTCTTCTCTCGATCTAGTTTGCCATGTACTGCCTGGTGCTGTTCTACCGGGCTCTGAGAGAAGAACTGGGTCCAATCAAGCCAGTGGGCAAATTCCTGTGTGTCAAAATGGTGGTGTTCGTCTCTTTCTGGTAAGTCTCAGCATGTTAAAGCAAACTTAACGACATGACCTGATCGTTTGTAGCTACTGAGAATGGTTATTTTGCAAACTCTTCAAGGCAAGCTGTGTTCATCGCTTTGCTGGTGAAAGTGGGCATTATCTCAAAGGAGCGTATATGGGACTGGAAGAGTGTGGAGGCTGTAGCCACTGGCTTACAGGTAAGCTAAAGCGTATCTAGTTAGGGAATAACTACGTGTGAGAATAACTTAAATGTCTGAGTTTGATCTTACCACCAATATAGTTATTATATAACTATATGGGGCCTCCTAAATGTTTACACCACTTTACTTTTAACCAGAAAGAAATCCAAACGCATCCAAACTGTCCTGTTTTCCCCTCAGGATTTCATCATCTGTGTGGAGATGTTCCTGGCAGCCATTGCCCATCACTACAGCTTCACCTACAAGCCTTACATCCAGGAGGCTGAGGAGGGTTCTTGCTTCGACTCTTTCATGGCGATGTGGGACGTCTCTGATGTCAGAGCAGACATCTCTGAACAAGTCCGCAATGTTGGTAGGTGCCCCCTAACTGCTGGAGTCCCTGCACATTCACGAATTGTTTCTCTGGCGTGTACACTTCAACACTTCTTCTTTTTTTTTTTTTTTTTTATGTTCTCATTTACAGGGAGAACGGTTATGGGTCGGCCAAAGAAGCAGTACTTCGGTGAGGCTCAGGATGATGGTGAGCGGTCTGGCCTGCTCTCTTCGGGCTCCCAAGATGTCATCACGGAGGCGGTGTCCAACCCCGTGTCACCCAATGGTCAATACCAAGGCCTGGGCAGAACCCTCACACCACACTCTGTGTCGGCGCCGGCCGGGCTCAGCTCGGCCCCGTGGGATGAAGGATACGAGGCTGGACTTGAAGAAACCCCGGAAGAGGAAAGGACCAACCAAACCAAAGAACCAGTAGAAGCAGATCTCATCGTGATCACCTAGCGTACCTTCAAGGCCGACGTCACCGACAGACTCTACCCGATATGGTTGGGCGGGACCCAATTACAGCCTTGCCATTTTCTTTTCAGACATTACAATATTGTTAAAAGATTAAATAAACCAGGTGTACCAGATGGACCTCTCTGCCAGTGACAGCTCCAAGAATGTTCGGTGAACTTATGGCACTACGTGACTTCTAGATGTGTATTTTATGCCGTTTTTGTTTCACTAGGGAGCTATTTGGCTCAGTAGGCTATGAGGAATGGTTTTTAATTCATTGAAGTTGGGAAAGACTTCCCGTCAATTTTAACGTGCGTCCCAAACGGCACACTAATCGTGTTTCTTGAGATGAGATGCCTCCCGAAGTGTGTGTATCCTTTCCAAATAGGAAATGATGGACACATTTGTGTCGTCTCAGTCATATCATGATCTCAGATGCCACGGTTAGATGACAAAGACAAATATGCAACTTTTTAAATAAGAATGTTCTCTTCAGTACATCTTAATTTAAAGTGATTTCAAAAGGCATCGATTGAAATAATCGTAAATCTACGATATCAAAGCACATTAGATGTCTTAGGCGAAAAGAGACGAGTTTAGGGATGCAAAGTTGAGATTAAACAGTTTCAGTTGTATGTTAGAGCCATGCCTGCTGAATGACGTATCTGAACATTGTGACATCACTATTAATACAATGTATTTACTGTAAGTACATTCTAAGTATTAAAACAGCGTACACAAACAGCATATTCTGATACATTTGTATTAATGATTTATTGCATTCAGCTCACTCTAAAGTGTTTCATAGACATTCATTGACTAGTCTCATCAGATGCCTTGTTCTATGTGTTGTGGAACTAGTCGGTCCACTACATCAATTTATATATCAGGATCAGTTTTATTCTGATGAGACGTTCAACATCAGTTTTAGCTGGAATCATTTAGCTGTTACTGCAACCAAGCCATGTATTGTTCTCCATAGAGGTTCTGAGCTTTTGTGTCATTGTGACTTACATGGATGTGTGCAGGGTTATTGACATGTGTATGTACAGTGTGGGATATCAGTTTGTGAAGAAACAACCTGTAAATCTATCAAATCAACAGCATAATCTTTATCATATCTAGCTAGAGAACGTTGCATTGCCTTACATGATTTTATTTTATTTTTTAAATAAAACTGACAGGATTACATTAGAGCTGATGTAAATGGTTCCACATGTTGATTTAATTCCATCACTGACTGTCTCCCCAATAAATCTGATTAACTACAGTATCTGATAAATTATTTTCTTACATTTATTTACAAAATGTCACATTTATTGTTGAAGTTTTTTTTGATAATGACAAACATCTTTACAAAAACAACTGCGTCTATGATCATGGAAGTATTTGTTTTATACTTACAAGTACAAATGATAAGTACAGAGTATAAATGTCCTATAATCTTATAGCACAATTTACAAATTAAAACATGACTTGAAGATGCATTTTCACAAATTCCTTATGATCGTGATGACTCGGCTTCCCACTGATGCTTACAAAGGTGTGGCTCATGCAGGCTTCTACTAAATCTCAAACCAGAGATTGAACTTTGAAGACTGGTAATACAGAAAAATAACACTGGAGAAATCAATCTTTAAATGGCACCAGAAAAGGAATGCAGAGTATTCAATGCATCCCCCTACGTGTCAGTGGCCTCTATATGATTGAGGCATGAAATTCAAGAGATCATTGTTCCATTGGCCCGGGTGTGTTCTCTATATGGGCTAATATGGAGATGGCGCTCTTGTGAAGCTTCACAGCGAGGCGGACCCAGTCTCCGGCTTGTACCTCCACAGGCTGCGGCAGCACAACAGCCGCCTGCTTCCAGTGAGAGTTCTGGCTGAGAGTGCTGACGCTGATCTCCTGGTCCAGGTAGATGTGGTACCAGAAGGGAACTGCAGTGATTCTGCCTGCAGACGTAGCCTGGACCTGGGAAACGGGGATTATGGCTTAAGCAGATATACGTATGGTACACATGAGCGGTCAGCTAGTTATCACAAGTCATGTTTCGCCTCCGTTTGTTTAAAAATATTATATGACACATATATTATGAGTTTAGGGGGAAAAGCTTGAATGGGATCAATTCACATAGCCCCTCATGTTAGATCGCTGTATGAAAATGCGGAGACGAGTGTGTATTCTAAGGGAGATGTGCACAGTGTGTCTTAATAGGTATGACTTCTAGGTTTTTGGTGCAGTATGTTTGTGCACCAGAGAGTAGTTTGGGATTATTCAATTATATTAATTCCAATCATGTTGGCAGCACCAATGCATCTCTTACCTTTACTTCTCTGTTGGTGTAGTTTGCGGTGGACTCCATTAGGTCAAGAACAAAGAGTTCCACAAACTCACTGAGATGTCTGCACTCCAGTGTGGAAAAGTCCAAAAACACATGGACCGGTACCTTAAGAACATAAAAAAGATGAACACAGTGTTAGCGACTTGTCTGCAGTGGATAAAAGAATCTAGTGACGTTATTAATTAGGAACTACATGATATGAAAAAGCAATAAAAGACCTGGGAAGAAGAGCTACTGGGATCAGATCCAACACAAAACAGGTGCTCGTGATGCACAGGTTGTCCACAAGAGAGGGAATGGATTTACAAATATCTACAAATTTGAAGAAAAGAAATGGGGTTGCTTATTTTTGCTCATAATACAGATTTGTTTTACAAAAGCATTGTATTAAAAATCATGCAAAAGCTGTCTCAAAGGTGTTGCTGGCAGTCTTTGTCCCAAACTATCATTTATCCACGTTAGGTTTCAATTCCTAGTGTCAGTGGATAATCACTCATGTACTGATTAATTTCACCTCAAACTCTTCAAAACTTGACAAAGAGGCCGTGGCTGCGGGGCAGCAGACTGAAAACGCTGAGGGACAAACCAAAGTGGCAGCACAGAAAGTGTCACAGTTTCCTTTACTGCAGAACAAAAGAATCTTTCCTCCTCCCTGTCACAGTTGTGGAGACCTCAGATCCTGCTGTTTGATGTGCCTGATGTAATGTATACTGATGGATTCAGGTAGGAACGTCTTGGGCCAAGCTGTGTGTGTTGTGCCTCGTGTGACAGTTGTGCTAGAGAGTGCCCTCCACTGAGGGCTTCAAAGACAACATCTGTTAAAACAAACGACCGTCCCGCGTGGGTCCTATCAAATTAGAGCACAAACATGATGCTGGGGGGGAGGAAAAGAAAAAAAAAAAAAAAAAAAAAAAAGATAATTTCCCGACCAAATAAAGAAAAAGAATTCAAAGAGATTTCGCAGCTTCTGAACACAGCTGGGAATCGCACATCAAAGAGGAGTGCACAACAGAAAACAAAGTCCAGGACCTTAGTATTCCAAGCGAAATACCTTGTTCAACAAAACACAAACCATACACGGTGCAAACAAAACAACCGGTCTCTGTTTTTGTACCTTTCATACAAATGTTCATACATTTTTCTGTACCCATCATATTTAACAAAACTCACAAGCAATAACTTTAAATGTGAATGATGCGAGCTTACAAACACAGCGTACTGTCTCTGAAAACCGGTAATATCGACATCACGAACATGAGACAGAATACAAGATACTAGTGGCCTGAGATGTACAAAAGGAAGATTTGGTGTTTGATGAAGACTGAATGAGATTCCCTATTTATTATTATGGAGTTATTTCAATATTATTTTTAAACCAATACCAAGTATGATTAAAATGACTAACTTCATAAATCAACCAAAGTTAAGTTAGTATGATCAGCTTCCTGTTCTTGTTATTCTGCACTTCCTTTGAGATGGACCATCTACTGAATACTCCTCTGCTCATCCCTCCTTTTCAAAGCGCGTCGGAGAACTACATTCAACGATCCTCCGACCGCTCTGCCTCAGAGCCACAGCCGCACCGGAAACGAGTGACCTCGAGTTGCTCTGGAAGATCTTTGCATGTTAGAGTAATGACAATAAATAATCTAACCTGTGATTGGCTGTAGCTTATGTAGGTATACTTACAGTGAACTGGTTGATGAAGGGAGCGATATTGAATCCCAGTGTGGGCTCCTGACCCTGGACAGCACTTTCCAGCAGCAACGTGTCCGACTCCACCAGCATACCGTGCACCACAATCTTTGCTGGGAAAATACTTCCTCCATCCTCCAGCAAACACCTAATATAGATACATAGAAATGCATTTTACTCTAAAATACATAAAAATGCAGCACTAGAATATTAAAAGCTAAATAAACAAAAGGTGAGGGAACATTTCTGAGTGCCCCACCCTGGCAGCTGCCCCTCACCTGGCCAGTGAAGCCTTCTCCATCAACTTCTGTCTGATGAGACCACACGTCTCCACACAGTCCAGAATGATGGCGCTCCACAGCTTCTCCCTGGACGGCCTTTTCAGCATCCCATGCTCGTCCTCCGTGTGGTTGAGCCAGAACTCGAGATGCTGCTCCGGGACATTATTGGAGCGAGCCAGTCTCTTCACGACTTCCTGCTGCTTTTTCTTTTCCACGGAGCTGTACGCTTTGACGTGGCCGTGGCTGGCGGCGATGAGGGAGAGCAGAGAGAAGCCCTCCGACACGTCGAGGACATAGAGCAGGTCACTACCGTCTGTGGAGTCACCGGATCCTCGCTCTTTGTTTTGGCATTTGGCCCTCAGCTGGGGGATGAGTTTGCCCAGCGCGCTGCAAAAACTCCGATGGTAATCCTGATTGTTCAGGAGCGCCATTTCTGCACATTCCAGCATGCAGAAGTCTTTGGTTTGTTTCTGGTCAGTCTGGAGACTTGCTAGCGCACTGCACAGCTCGGCCTCTGGGTTTTGATTTGAAATGGGGTTTCCAGATCCTCGCGTATCCGGGCGCTTGTCCAGACGGATTTCATGCCCGTCTCTCAGCACGGCCACGCTGCAGAGCCTCAGGAAGGCATCTCTGCAGGAGACTTCAACGATCAGCTCGTCTCGAGGTTTCAGGACAAAACCTGAAAAGAATCAAAAGAGGGAAACACTGACTGGGCCTGATTCTACTAGAGCTGTGCAAACCTCACTTAAGTTTTGGGACCAACTGAAATGTACTGAAGCAAAGCAAAGAATTGACAACTGCCAAGTACTGAAAGTGGAATTGGATGTCTGGTGTTATTGTATTTATTTATTTTTTTCTTTTAAATCAGAACGTGCCTAAATTAAACTTGTGCTTAATAACATATAAAAAATGTTATTGTAAAAAAACATGGCAATCTCGAAGATTCTGTTAAGTCACTATTGCCGATTGATGATTGAGCCCACTGATTAAAGTATTGCAATACTTACTATGTACATTCACAGTATTACCGACTAGGTGTCATTCCCGGGAGAAAAATGCTGTATTATATAATTGTGAAAACTTGAACCAAATGTATCAACAAAAAGACTCCAGACTGCTAAACTCAGAGCCCAATTCCATTGTTTTAACTCAAATATAAACTCAAAATCAACCTGGATTAACATCTTAAGGAATGCCACTCTAAGCCTTTAAAAAAAGGGCTTGTAAAAAAAAAAAACTTATGAACATCTGAAATGACGAACAGAAAGGGGAAAATTGCAGATCCATACACAATAACATTATTATCTATAATGCCATGCTTATGGTTTTATAAATACTAAGCTGACGGGGGTCTAAGGATAGAGGGTGTCTCACGCTGTACAGACTTTAAAGCCCTTTGTGGCAAAGATTTTGGGCTGCGTAAATAAAACTGACTGGACAATTGAAACACTTAAAAAAAAAAAAAAGAGACAGCGAGTGAAGAAAAAGCAGGAGATGCAGAAAGGGAGAGGGAGCCCAACAGAGAAATGAGATGCAGGGGACCGGGTGCACAGAGAGAGGGGGAGAGGCCCCGAAAGGATTCCTACAGGAATAACATCTGCTCACGTCTTCATGTCAGCGCGGCGCTCGTCAGAGGCATTTGGGAAAAATGCATATTTATTGCCTATAAGAATTTCATGAACACTAAAGAGTGTCACAGGCGATCACGGCGCACACGTCACCGCGACCAGGGGAAACGGATGTCGGTGATCACCGGGAAAGGTGGCGGCTCCCTCGACGCTGCCTCCGCCAATTAGCGGCTCAGTGAAACGCTGCCGAGCCCTGTCTGGGAGATGATGTACTGCAATGCCAACTGGAACATGTCACCTCGTGTCGGCGGCTATTAAGCTCACAGTTGCCGAGGATGACAGCAAAAAATACCCTCCACTTCTTCTTTAAGTTTGTCGCTTAACAAATATGAATTTAGATTGTTCGTTATACTGTCTACACTGTCTGTTCTATTCATTTTTACACTGGCATATTGTGGACTTCAGTGATGATAGTTACGTAATGAAGTGTGGGTTTTTTAAGACGTCCGGGGAGCTATATCTTTATGTATCATCGTCCTCGTTGTAGTAAAGTATTCTCACTATTTTCACCTTGGTTCAAAATGAACGGAAGGCTGTAGTGAAGTAGCGGTGATGATTATAAGCAGAAATATTTCCCTGGCATTATTTAACAAACATGGTAAATAGTGTATGCAGTCTTCAGCACACACTGCCCTCATCTGATGTAACCTGGAAATGCATGATATATCGGAGTAGAGAATACAAGCTGAGCAGAGAAATAAATACATTTTATTAAACCTAAATGTGGTTAAGTCATGACAATTTGAAACCAGTAGCGACACTTAAAGGACAATTCCTTGGACACACTGTAACAGATAGACAATGCGGATTAATCTGACACTTAAAATGAGTAAAACATCTGTGTGAAATTGTTGGGTGACTTGCCAAACCTCCCCCACAGCGTCTCCCCCGTACGTCCGTTGGATCTTACCGTCGGTGCTGTGGACTGGGTAGATGGCCTGCTCCCAGCACGTGTCCTCCTGGGGTCCAGTAGACAGACTGCTCTCCTCATCCAGGTGGAGCTGGAACCACACAGCCAGAGCGTCCAGCTCCCCCTCCTGAGTGACGGGCAGGCGGATCTGCTGAACCTCCCTGGAGCTCAGCCCCTCCAGTTCCTACAGGTCACCGAAACAAAATGGAATTGTTCCAGGGTTATCGGCTAAAATCAAAACGATAAATCAAGCTTGGTGGTAAAAATAGGTGTTCAAATATGCAATATGGGTGTAAAATTAAAAAAAATCTGATTGCAGAGGGCTTGATGTTGAAAAAGGAGTTGTGAATGTTATTGGCCTCTGCTCTTGCAGCTTTTGAAGTCCAACTTACTTGTTAAGTCAGAAAACTTAAAAGATTTAAGATATACGAATGCATTTCACAGCGTGTATGAATAAATAAATTCTAAATGTGACAGCCTGCCTGTGACAGTGATATGATATCAAATGTGGCCTGCCTTGCTGCTGGCAAGCACCAAGAACACACCTCTCTGTCACAAAGAGCTCACAACAGCATGGCACGTAATACAGCAAGCGTCGTCTCGACAGCTACCAATGCACGGTAAATGTATCACTCTTTTGTGGCGCTCTGCAAGTGAGCTGGAGATATTTCAAAATCACAAATGGGTAAAAACGGTAATACCCATTGCAGAAAATGTCACGGTCTGCTTATATTGAATGGGAAAAGCCCCTTGAAGCCTGAGGATTGAAGGTGGTTATGCAAATAGGATTTTCTGTGTGAGATAATATTTCAAACAACTTGAATGGGAAATTGCAATACAAATGTGGAAGAGGAAAACTTTTATTATTTCTCATATTCTTGGGACTGAGACAAACTGAAAGCTGATGAGCACATGAGTACTGAATAACTTACTTTGTTGAGTGCAGAGTTTGCCTCACTGACACATTATCACAGCTCTGTCACCAGGGTAAGATTGTTTCTGTCCCTACTGGACGTGTGTGGACAAATATCAACCAATGATCATTCAGGTGCTGTTTGGGAGATAAACACGGTGTCTCCAATCTGTCAGGTGTTCACTGTGAGCTGATAAATCAGTCAACAATCCCTGCAGGCCTTTAGCTAAATAATAAGTGGCCACTGACGTGCAATGTTTTAGCCTGTGAGGCAGCCAATATGTTCGTTTCATGGGACCAATAGAAATATGGTCAGGTAAATGAATTATATTTGTCAGAGTTACATTATTCTGCTTGACTCAAGGCAACAAACACACACATTGAATATTCTCACACGGCTGCATATCAGACACAAAGACAAATGCAAAATTAAAGTAAAAGCACATTAAATTAACAGCAGCTGAATGAATCAATCGTCATCGTCTATCAGCGTCTGCTTCGGCTCACCTGCACGTTGTTGAAGTCGATGTTGAGGGCCGTGAACGGCTCAGTGAGAGCTTTATATCCCCCGGGCACTCTGCTGAGTCTCTCGGTGGTGTAAGGCTCCATGGAGTCATCCGGCTCAGGGCTGCAGCTCACTGGGCTACAGAGCTCGCCGGCTGCAGCTATGGACAGACCGCCCACCTCTGACACACAAAGCCTGCGTGAGAAACAAACGGCGATCTGATGATAGGTCCTTGTGCTGCTGCTCTGAGAAGTTCCATTGCGGGAAAACAACGGACGGGATCCAGGGCCTACCTGTGATGCCTGCGGATCTCGATGCTCTCAAGAGCCATACCGAACACGGTGGCTCCAGCCGGGATGACCCGTCCTGTCGAAGACTGATCCTGGAATTCATTCTCACCTCTCTTTAGGATGACAAACGAGTGCTTTTAGTGAAACTGCACATTAACGCCCCTTGATGGCACAAACACAACATCAAAAGTGAACTGGATACATTCACCATTATCATGGCTACTGTATGTGTTGAGTGAAATGTCACAACTCATACTTTTCTGGTTGTTTAAGAGGCAACTTAGATTTAGTTTTTACGTTATGGGTTGACGAGAAGTGCCTTAAAGCTGCAGTTGTTGTCTTTTATGAAAATAACTTGTTATGATATTGTCTCAGACAGTGACTATATCCAGACAGTGGATAATGAGACAGATGATGTGTGAAAAAATTGGGTTCCTTTGCCTCCTTTTGGTGCTCCGATATACCATGTTAGCATATGGAAAATTCCACCGTGCCCAAAAGAAAACAACCAAACAGAGCCTGGGATTCTGTTACTGTACTCCCTATTACTCATCAGTGTACTCTTCTGCTGTAAAATGAGAAAGTTTGTGATCCGGCCCCTATGTTAAAAAAAAAGATGACCCAAAACCAAGCGCCGGCCAGAGTTTGATAATTTCATCAGAATTCACGAGCAGCGAGTGATTGGTTGGTTTTTTTCAGGCAATGGTGGAATCTTGCAAATACCATCAGGAGCACTAGAGGGAGGCAGAGGAACACAATTTTTTTCACAGATTATATATCTCATGCACCACTTTCAGGATATGGTGACAGTTTGAGCAAATATGATGAAAAGCCAACTGCAGCTTTAAAGCCATCATTAGTTTTGTTCTCAATCATTTCCTGTCCTGCAAGCCCACAACTGTGTCACAGATCTGGCATCATTATTTACAACTCCGTGTGCTTTTTTTTAAAGATTTAATGTAAATTCCCAAAAAAATGTACAATAACTTTCTTAGGATTTCCAACCCTGTACGTCAGTGGCAAACAGTGATAGGTTTTAGGTGCCACAAACTCATAGAAACATTAATATTGCACTGCGGAAAAACTGCAGAATAAAGTTCTGCTTCCTGTCCTGTGTTTGCGTTTAATAATTGAAGTTACCCGTGGAGGTAGCAGGAGGTGGTGCCAGGCATGAATGAGACTCTCGATGATACCCTCTCCAAACAACCCTGCATCTACCGTCTCCGTCACCACCAAGGATACTCTAAGAGAAACAGAATATTGAATGGGACAAAAACATGAGAAATACTGTACTACTCTTACTGAGCATGCCTTCTATAACAGCACAAACAAAAAGATAAAAAGGTATTGTTCTGGTAAAATACGTCTTTATAAATCGCACCTGTGTGGGATGTCCTTTGGCACTTCCATCTCCAGAGACTTCATGTGGAGGATCTTGATGCTGCCGTCCATTCCATTAGCGCTCACCACCTCACAAGCCAATTCATACATGGTCTTGGAGAGTTCACAGGCATACACCTCAGCAGCCCCAGCCTTCTTCGCACACATACTTCCCAGAGAGAATTAGGAAATCGGAACAATAATACTGACGCATTGAATCACAGGTCCCATTATAGCTGTAGCCAAAATAATAAGTACGGGTTTGGGCTGATAAAGAGTTCCAACCTACACATAAAGTACACTCCATGACTTAAAGAATAAAAAAGTTTCCAAACTCTCATGGAAAATATCTCACCCGAGGATCCCAGTGCCTGTACCTATGTCAAGTACAGTGTTGCAGCCGCTCTGAACAGCCTTCTGGATGGCTTGCTGGTACTTGCGGTTCCTCCCGTGGTCGTTGAGCATTAAGAAATGCCAACGCTCCACCAGCCAGTTGGCCACACGGTAGAAGTTCTCCCGGGCTTCTGGATAGTCTGGTCTCAGCTTCAAGGCTTTATGGAAATGACCTGCGGCTTCGTCTCTGAAGCCCATTCTGGATAAGAAAGGGGGAAAAAAAACTGTATGAGCAGATAATTCACCGAAACAGTATAAAGCTAAATTATGCTTTGTTATTTGATGAGGAAAATACCTGAACAAGTGTTCACCCATGCTGTTGAGGATAACCTCATCAGCAGGGAACAGTTCCAGTGCTTGTTCATAACAGTCAAAGAGGTCTTGAATGCGGCCCACAGAGTCCAGCTCTTCTGTCCACTTGAAGAGAGTGAACCTGAAAGACTCCTAAAAAAAGGAGATGTCACAAAACATCTTTTGATTCTGCATCAATAAAAACAGACTGCAGCATGTGTGTGATTGTGGTCATGATGTGTGCACAGTGTGTGGCAGTGATTGTACGCAGACAGGTTATCAGTGTAAACAGTCATTACCCTTGCAAAGTCCTTAAACATCGGCGCGAGGTTGAGGACCAAAAGGTAGTGCACAAATGCCGTTCCGTAGTCTTGGTTGAAAAGGCACTGCTGGGCACTTTCTAGGGAACTAGAGACCAGCTCGTTCCTAGCAGGGTCCTCTCTGCGTCGCCTTCGTGTCCTCCTGCCATGCTTCGGCCTTGCACTGGTATTAGGCATCCCTTGAGCAAAAAAAGAGAGTGGAGAGTCTATTAGAAAATTATAAAGTCTGATAATATGATATACAGATTAATGCCACTTTTACTAAGACAATAAGGATCGACTGTACTGTATGACCCATAGACCATGGACAGGAAGAGATAAAAACATGAAAAAGAGTCAAAATGAAGTCAAAATCTTTAACTAATTAATTCATAATTTTGACTCAGGAGATCTCATAGTTTTGACTTGCATGCTATTCTATTTTTGTCGTTCCAAAATATTAATCTATTTTTCCATTTTCCTGGAAATGGGCTTCCATACATATCAACATGTTGTGGTGTTATTGTAATAATCATCATAATAATAACTGCAACATGAATAGGAACTATTAACAAATGTAACGCACCTCAAACAAAATGCTAAGTATTTTACAGGCATTACTGTATTACTAATGTATGTCGACTTACTGTATGTTGTTTTAGATCGCAGGCTGCGGTAAGTTATGGGATGGAGGGAGATGCACGGAAAAGGTCGCTGCTGTTTATTTAAGGTGCTAATTTACGTTAACATTCCGGTTTTGTCCAATAAAGTCGTTAGCATCGTTCTAAGCAATCCTTCCTCTGTTAGCAGCCTAATGCTAGCTCACATGATAACAATATGTTCTGATTGTGGCTACGAGAGGTTAACCGCATGTCATACAAATGACTACCTGTTAATATCCACGCTAGAACGGCCAGATGCTGATTTAAAGTGTAAATCACATTTCTGCTACCGTTAAACAAGGAACGTGTCCGCGAGCTAAACAACTCGGTCAGAAACATGAGACGAGACAAGGTTCCGCGTGTAATTGTAATGAAGTGTTATATATTTGAAGTTACAAACCGACCATATCAACCATGCTATCAACTGTAGATAACAGGGCGAATAATAATAATCCGTTTTTATTGACAAATTACGCCACAGTAAAGACTCCCGCCTCGGATTTGCCTCTGATGGAACCAATGATAGACGAATCTTCAAGCACAATCAAAGAGTACAAAACATTAGCATAGTTCCCACCCGTGAAAACTCTTTAAGTAGAACATGAAGGTAGCGTTCTTAAAATGAGTGTGTGAATACAAATTCTTCCATGTGCTCGTGCCCTTTTTGTATACCTTGTATGTTGCATTCGAGCCTAATTATTTGCTCACACTTGTCCACTCCAAAATGATCATTGGCATTTCTTTAGACTGTATCCTGCATTAAGGTGTACAGCTTTGTTGTCATATCCACTGTTTGTGATGATCCGACTGACTTGTAGTTTAATATTATGCAACACTTTAAGGTCCCCTGTGATTGGTTTTGAGTTGGCTTCGGGAGTTCTTAGTTTACCTTGTTTGTTGACCTTGCATCGAGCCACTGTATGTACTGAAGGATCCATATAGGCTTGGTACTATGCTGCATCTGAGCGATCAATTGTAATTACTGGAGAGCCTCTCCTTCTCTGTTCTCTTTCCCTTGCCTTGCCATACGCCTTTGCTTAGCAGTCCCCAGGGCCGTGGGTAAGGCGTCCCATTTGGGTATAACTCAAAGAGTCTTTTTTTTATTTCTGCCACTTTATATTTCCACTTTACCACAGTTCAGAAGGAAATATTGTACTTACTAAATTGCACTACTTCGACCAACTAACAGTACTTATGTTAATCACTATGCATCATTAATAAGGATCGACCTGTTATAGCATCTACAGTAGCCTACATATGCTTATGTTACATTATTCTACAAATCTACCAACCTCTTTACCTTTACTTGAATCATATTTTAAATGTATCACGATACTAGGTTTTAATCAGTCTGTTATTGTTACTTTTAACTTAGAAAAATATCCAAATACTTCTTCCACCACGGCTGACACCATTCGCCCTGCAAATAACCCTCGTCAGTGCTCACAGGGCAGCAAAGCGAAGGCGGAAGTAGATACGACTACACCATCCCGCGTAAGCTACACCGTCTTTGGCAAAAGTTTTGCTCCATGCACTCAGATGTCAGCAGAGTGTGTCTCAATCTGTCACTTACTAGGTGGAGTGCGTTTGATGGAGGGAGGAAAAAAAATTAGATACAGCTAATTATGACTGTCTGACAACTCTTGTGAAGCGACGTCCGATCAACACTTCGCCCGGCAGCGTATTGTTATCACCTTGTTATGACCTGCCAGCTACTCTTTTCGTTATTTGACAACTGTGGAGCAACACCCTGTGTCAGAAGTTAACATGCTAACCGCTGTTAGCTGCTGCTATTCAACGGAGCTGTTTTCTCTGTTAGACTTGAAACCGCCCGCGAAAAGAGCGGCAATTTTATAGTGACGATTTAGTTTAGTTTTTAGCTTAAAAGTAAGCGTCATTTTGACCAGTTTTCCCCCGTTTCTTGAAAGCGAAGCTATCGATCTGTCACAGACATGGGACTACACCCGCTGGAGTTCAGTGAATGCTATCTGGACAGCCCCAGCTTCAGGGAGAAAATCAAGGCACACGAAGCGGAGCTGGACAAAACCAACAGATTCATCAAAGAACTGTACAAAGATGGGAAGAACCTCATCAATGCAACGAAGCGTGAGTCGGTTTTTAAACTCTGAGAAAAGTCTGTGTTCAGTCACAATTGCCCTTGCCTTGGGAAAGGGGTCTTCCTTGTGTCCCATAGTATTATGTTGTAACGACTTCTTCCTCAGTTTGCCAATGATTGTCTTTTTTCCATTTGGTGATGTCATGAAACTACTTGTTTCAGATTTACAGAATAGATGAACTAATCGTCATGAAAGCAAGACCACAAGTCTTTCTTTTCTGTTCCAACATTCCTTTCTTGTGTTTTATGAGGACAATTATTCACTTGTAAGCCTGAAACAAAAGGCCCCCGAGTTCCTTTAACAACCCCGTGCTATATTTGCTCTCAGTCACATACCTCTGCAGGGTTAAATGATTAGATTGTTATCTGTTTGAACTCTAGTTTTGTGGGCTGGGCTTGTTTGTGCCAACAGTGCTTACAGCCAGTGTTCAACACATAGTCATAAGAAATAGGGCTGCTCTGCTGTCAAAACTGTCTTGTTGTCTTTGTGTCATGTTTTATAGTTGTATTAAATCAAAATGCAGTGAAACATCTTGAGTTGCTAAGACATTGTATGGCAGAACTTATAGTCGAAGAATATTTAGGCAGTCACAGTGACACCGATATTCTTTTTCCTTTGTCATGTAGTCTGCTTTAGTGTTGACAGATGGGCTATAGGCATGTTCCAGCAGCATTGCTAACATTGCTTACTGCTTGCAACATGTTTTTCGACTCTAAAATCTCCATATAGACTTATTTGTGGTCTAAAGAACTTTGGGCATGTGGTCTACATCAAGGTCCAGGCCACAGATGCATCGCTTTGACTATGAACAATAACGTTAACCTCTTCAGACTTTCTCCTTTTGTCATTTAATATGCCATGACAAAATAATCATATCCTGTTATCACTGAACAAGATTGTGTTTTCCAAATGAAGGACTTTGTGCAAATGGTAGTTCAAAATATTTTCATTTTAAATTACTAATTTAAAGAGTTTGATGTCATGCACAACTGCAGCACACCTGAAACATCAGGTTTTTATACTGTGATGGTGATTTCAACAGTAATCCTCCGCCGTAGGCCGATTTATGCTGCAGCTTCATCATGAAGTGTCAAAAGGTCAGCATTGGATTCACCTTTTTTAGCTGCAATGTTTCGGTGTGTTGTGGTGTTCAAATGAAGTAGAAGTGGTATTTATGTTCCTCACGTGTGTGTCAAATGAACTTCTGCACTGTTGACAGCAGGCATACACATGTCACAAGAGACGTATGTCCTCAGTCACCTCTTTTATAGGTTCAGTCTCTCTCTTACAGCAGCTAACATGAGAGGAGCCCAGCCTGGCCTAATGCCGGTGCTGCAGCTCCCTCTGCTACACATTAATGTATCGTACATTACCGCTGTGCTGAGCTGTTATTGGCATACTTGTGGTCTATTGTACCTGTTCGCTTGTCGTTCTCCTACCTCTCCCATCGTGCTGAATATTACCCCAAAACTACAACTTTATTACAATTTAGATCTATAAATGTGTGTAAAACTCTCAGGAGGTCAGCATCCTGACCTGGCCTTCATCTTTTATTTTACTTGTTTCATTTACCTGCTCTGACTTATAGTCGGGAGATTACGTGCCACTTTCTTCGGCCTTTTTTACCAGGCCAGCGCCACGGTGAACTCTGGTATTCACCGTTGCTCACCGATGAGTTGATATTGATGCTGTGCCGTGTTGGTGTAAACTGACACACAGTGTCCCGTTTCAGGAGGTCAGGCCACGTCTTGTATTTCATGCCCGAAATGACTGTGGCTAAACTATGAGTCACTTTTTTTTTTATATTGATTTTAAGGGTGTCAAACATGTGACCTATATCACATAATAACCTAACAAGGCTGTTAACCCTCATTTGGTTGGTGTTCGCTTCTTGCTTGTGAGAATATGAGAAGAATTAAGGAACCCTGCTCGTACACTCCCATTGGGAATACTGCAAAGTCAGTAGAAAATTCAGGAAGGAACTGCTGGTCATGTTCTTATGTAACGGCATTATTGCAGTGCTCTCATCCTCTTTTGCTCAGCCTGTGGAGACCGTTTTTGAAAATATGTCCCGTCCCTTCTCCCTTATGGCAAATGACTGTTTTTGACATTCTTTGATAACTGTAATCATGAAGGTGTTTACTCAAATAGCAGTAGTAGAGAAACTTAAACCTTATCCAACTGCCACAGCAAAAATGCATGAGCTGGCTGCATTCGATGTTGTCCAGAAGTAAAAACCGTACACTACTTTTTTTACAAAGGGCGTTTCCTGCGTTGATAGTTAAGTTAAGGTGAGGCTGATAAATCCAAACTGAGCTGTCAGCCATCTGTGTTTGAATGATAACACTGAAACAATAAGTTAACCGACAAATATAATCTGCATCAATAGATTAATCCCATTTTTCAGAGCTCCCCTCCTGCTTTGCTCTTATTAGTGGAACATGAGTCTGATAACCTCGTCCTGTGTTTGGTTCGTAGAGATCATACTGAATAGGCCCAACCATTTTCTTTGAACCTGCCTTGTTTGTGGTTTGCATGCTTTGAAGCTCAAACAGTTATTTTTGATAAGTGTAGCTGATTTGGGGAAGCTAAGCGACGTAATCTTCTCTGTAGACAATGGTCACACCACCATACGATCTGACACTCTGCAGTGCTGATCTAGCATTAGTCTTGCTTACAACTAACAGTAAATTAGTTGTTTTATTTTGTATATAATGCTGTACTACTTTACGTTTGACCTCAGAATGATCTGCTGGTTGGCCTGTCAGAGACAGTTGTTGATCTCCACATCCCATTCCCGTCTCGGCCTGTCAGTGACTGGGAGGATGTCCCACTAAGGAAAGACCTTGGTTCGGAGAGGAAACCTTCCAGCGGGGCCCTGGGCCAGAGAGCCGTGACATGGAAGTGCCCACTAGAGGAGCAGCATGCACATGTGCTTCTGTTTCAGAGGGTTTCCTTCACAGGAACTGTGTCCTGTCTGTACCCTCTCAATCACCCCTCACTGTTGTCCTCAGCAAACACATCGATATCTCATTTGTGTACGAAAAATGTCAGCTCTCCGTTTCTGAGTTTCTTCTACCGTATCATAGTGTTTATTGTGTGTTCTGTTATTGCCGCAATCATTGGAAAATTGAAGTTGGACAGAGTTTTTGCAGAAAGGTCAATCATAGTCATTTCCACAGCTGGACTTCCTGGTGAATTGACCATTTGGCTCATAAAGCAATATGATTTTTTTATATATATATATATATATTTTTTCCACAAACCCAGCCATGTGAAGGTCCTTTTGTTTCATTGGCAGACAGGTTTAAGAGCAGCCTGCCATGGTGTGCTTTGGCTCAGTGCTGCTCTCTCTCCGTAATCACATTACTGATTCTGCCAAAAGAGCCACATCACAATCTTTCATTAAAAACGCATTAGCACAAGACGAGGTGAAGTGATGTGGGAGGAAGGCTTTTTTTTTTTTTTTTTTTTTTTTCTTCTCCCATCTCTCACTCCAGAGAGCACAAGACCTACTATGAAAACGAATGCTTGATGGCACCGCTCCGCTTTCTTTTGGGGGGGCTCCTTTTTTGGTGCAAACAAAGTGTTGAGAACTATTTCAAGCACTTCGGTTACATCATGAACTGAAACCTGTTGCCAACAGGTGCTGATATATCATTGATTAGACAATTTTTTCATTATTGACAGGATACTGCTCAGTGCAGCCTCGCCCTACAGACTTATTTTGAGGATCAGGAAGTCATGAATGAAGTAATGCATGCTTTGTGGGTAGGGATCTGGGGGGGGTGGGGGGTGGCCAGGCCTTGTTAAGGGCAAAGGTGGGAGGCGAGTGTGGAGCAGCGATTGGGACTGGAAAAGATGGGAGAGTGGAACAGGAAGGACAGTGGAAAGGCACAGTATGTAAACGCTGCACCAGGCACGCTGTGACCTAAGTGGCACATCTGATGAGACCGTAGAAATCATAACAAACATCCCGGCAACAGGCGCCAATGAATACACTGTGGACATCTTCAGCAGCTGAACTCTGACTGGCGCATACCTTTTCTGCTTTGTTTTTGGAAGAAACCTCTGAAGCAGCAGAACATGTCATTTTAAGTTTTCCTGCTTTGAGATACATTAAGTGGAAAACAAGTTCAGATAGTTTATGGTAATTGTTAATATGTGGAAAGAACAATTTCATATTGAAATGTGCTGCATGTGACGTTTTGCAGCACGACTGTAATAAAGGAAACAATGTTGGAAGAGACAGACAGATGTGAACATTTTTATATTGCATGTAAAGCTTAATCTCACAGCAGCCGGGGGGGTCACATTCATTAAAAACAAACCACTACTTTACGTTGGACACATTTTAGGAAAACACATAGACAGAGTGGCAAGCCAGTCCTTGTTTCAGAAGCAGTTTCCTGTAGTCATCCCAAGTCGGTGCCTTACAGCTGAATCAAAGGTTTTGGAACCTGTAATTATGTGTAAAGAATGAGTTGTACATATCCACTTCAGCAATGCCGTTTGATTATTTTATCCAGATGTTTCTCAGACATTTCTCACTTATATATGGCAATAGAAGAGGTGAACGGATCTTCATTTTCTGTGGGTGGTTTTAAGGGAATGTGGATCTTTCAGATCAATTTGAGGAGCGCCTCAGGTTTGCATGTTCCACATTTAAACGTAAGTGTGTCATGCAACGTGGGACTCTCACTAGTCTGGTCTTGGTCTTGACCTGGTCTCAGCCCCTCAGAGTCTTGGTCTTGTCTCGGTCTTGATACAATCTGGTCTTGCTCGTGACTTGGTTTCGGTCATTACAACCCTGGCCTGTAGAAGGTGTCAGTCCTGCAGCCTGTCCAGAATGTATTTTACTTTACTGTTACAAGTAATAGATGGATTTAAGTAAAAGTGTTGTGTTGATCTTAACTCAAAGGTGCACTTACTAGCTTTAGAATGTTAAAACTAAACTAAAAGCAAGGAAGTGGGTGTCTAGGATTATTT